GCTTTGCTGGCACATACGCACTCTTTTGTTATTGCCTGAGCAGCCGCATTTTCGAAGAAGAATGGTCCGTTGATACCTCCAGCCCAAAATCCACACCAAACAGTGACACGTTGTGGATGCATTTGTTTCTGAACAATCACTCGTGGATTTTCTGAACCCCAAATGCGACAATTTTGACGATTAACCAAGCCATCAAGATGAAAATGAGCCTCATCAAAATTCAGCCACATTTATGCAAAACGGTCATGGAAAATTTCAACAAAAGAGTGCGTATGTGCCAGCAAAGCCGTGGAGGCCATTTACCCGATATGCTATTCCATACATAACCCTATACTGTATACTTTATGAATCAATAAAAAATTTACAATTTTTAATCATAAACCTGTGTTTTCTATCAAAATTACTTCTTGCGTGAATTTTGGGACACCCTTTACATATACTTATTTTGCAATTCAGAGTTAGAGCCAATCCCCCAAACCTTACACTCATACTTCCTGGTACCATTGCTTCTTTCCTTCAGTCATTCCTTTAGCCCCTCAGGTTATTAGGCTAAAGAAACCTATATACTTATTGCCTACAGCAAACACATTTTCTTGGTCCATCATCTAACCTTTTGATTTTTTAGGACTTCAACAATTTTAAATACTTTCACAGAGTTTGTTCGGACAACACAGTGTTCCTAAAATTTCTTGGCTATCATTATTGATAAACAGATTTAGTTTAACATATACCAAATTCAACACTCAAAAATTCATTCTATGAAAATTCAGAGAAATGGGCATGAGATTATACTGTGTGTGTGTAGTGGAAGACTGTTGCTCTCTTTAATAACTTGCACAACTAATCAACTATCAGGGAAAATGCCTCCTCTAATACTTCCCCAGTATTCTTTTTACTCCCCTATTATATAGCAGTCATGCAACTGACCTCATCACAAGCTCCAGGGACTGACTAGCCCACGTCTACTGTTGTAATCCCACCTTCCTTTGCCAAGTGCCAAGTGCTTATTCAGGGAATAATGCACGAGACCCTTGTTTGGTGGTGGGAGGAAAAAGAAACCCCAGCAGCTGCTGGATCTATTTGTGAGCAGGAGGAGAACACCCTAGGAAGAGGTGATACGAAGAAGGTAGAGTGGAGAGACAGAATAAAATCAAGTTCCCAGGGACCCTGTGGAGCAGCTGGACCAACTTTATCTAAAGTTAGTCTAAATCCCACCCATATCTAGACAGCAAATAAATTCCCCTATTGCTGAGTTGGAGTTTCTAAAACCTGCAACTACCAAAAGCATTCCAATTGCTGTATCAACTTACCACCAGATTATAAGCTCGCACAGTTTTATCTGCTGAACAGGTATACAGCAAATTCCCAAATATCTGAATTGCATTCACTGCAGCTTGGTGCCCCTCAAAACTCCCTTCTGTGGGCTCATCATCATCTCCTGGCTCTGAAGATATTTCTAGAAAACAAGAATATGTTTCAGAAACATGTCCACTGTGTCTGAAAAGATACTCAAACATTAAAACCATTACATAACATGGTGGCCCCTGAGTTCTCCTTAGAGTCTAGTACCCGTTGCAAAATACCACAGTTTTCATTAAGATCTTCATTATGAAGATTTCATAGTAAGAGAAAGCAGGGAAGGCCTTTCACTTAAGAAAATGATACTTGTATGAGTTTTTGAGTGATAACGGGAAGGCACCAAATATCTTCACATACAGTTGTTTCACTGAGCAAGGCATTATTCTTTAAGCAGTTCTGTCTCAAAGCAAAATCCCCTGGAGCCAATGAAACCTTAATACTAAGTAACTGAATAGATAAGAGAGCCAGGTAAGAGAGATGGGCGTAAGAAACTGAAAAGAAGGATTTGAGGATTTAGAAATACTGTAACTGCTGGTCAAAGCAATCATCTTGGTGCTAACTCCTACCCGCTATTCTATAAGTATATTTAAGTAGATTTAAACCCTGGCTCTAACATTTACAAGGCTTTTCTCTGTGGTAATTTAAATAAAACAGAACAACCAAATACCTGAAGAGTTCTTTGATCCTTTTATGGAGGAGATCACGGTCTGAGTTTCTGCCACACTACAAAACAATAGCAAAAGTCTTCTTAGCATCTGTGTGAATAGGACAGGTAGTAAAACCTAAATTTTCCTGACTCAAAGTATTGTTCTAATCAATGGGAAAAGTAGCAATGATGAGATCATTTTCCATCTGAAATTTCTATATGGAAGGAAATATAAGTACAGTAAATATTTATAACACAAATGAGAAAGCAGCAAATCTCCACTGCCAAGTTTTTGAGTCTTCCACATCTGCAATGCCTACAGATTCTCTATAAATTTGATTCTTTTAAAAATTCTGAGTCATAACAAAAAGTTCTATTTCTTTTTTTTTTAAAGAAAAGAAGAATGGCCCTAGCCGGTTTGGCTCAGTGGATAGAGTGTAGGCCAGCAGACCAAAGGGTCCCAGGATCGATTCCGGGCAAAGGCAGGTACCTCAGTTGCAGCCTCCTCCCCGGCCCAGGCCCTGGTCGGGGTGCGTGCAGGAGGCAACCAATCGATGTGTTTCTCTCACATTGATATTTCTCTTTCTTTCCCTCTCTCTCTAAAAATCAACGGAAAAATATCCTCGAGTGAGAATTAAAAAAATAAAAGAATGGTGAAACTGTTCTGATTGGACCAATACAACATCCCTACCTTACAGGGATACCATCTTTATAGCGAGTGCCAATCTCACTGGTAGAGCTAACTTCATCACAACCAGAACGAGAAGTTTCTAATGAGTGTTGCTCTGTGCAGTTCCAAATATCCTTCTTCGATGGGCTGTCTGGCTTCTCCTCTCCAGATTCCGAGGAATCAATGGCCACTACTTCTAACTGAGGGTTAGGAAGTTCCAGGACTTCCAGAGAGGAGTCGCTATCTGGCTCATCCCTGACACTCTCTTGTTCAAGTCCAGTTCTGCTGTCTTCCCAGGTGGAGGTTGTTACTTTCCCTCCTTTCGCTGACTTTCCAGTTTTTACTTTCCTCACAGGCTTAGCAGTAAATGCATCCTGCTCGGTGTCACTGTTCTCAGGAACATGGGCGGCTCGCAGAGTCTTCTTCTTCCGAAGTTTCTTCTTTTTCTTGTTCCCCCGCGTTTCAGCTGATGTCAGAGTAGACTCTGCTTGTTCAGGCTGGTCAGCGAGAGAGAGGGACTCCTTCTCTAAAGAGGTTTCTGAAGCAAAGAACAATCTTGGAAAAGAACTGGTACAGGCTTCAGACCCGCTGTTGCCTTTGGTTGGCTCTTCACCTTCTTTATTTATGCTAGGAAGACCAGCTGATTGGGACGAGAGAACATTTTCCCCATTTCTGGTACTTCCTTGCTCCACAGAAAGCCTCAGTTCTTGGCTGGGCTCATGGGAATTTTCTGTTAGCTCTGACAAGGACAACGGTGCAGTGAGGGATGCATCGACTGAACGGCGGTCACTGACCTCTCCTGAGGAGAGAAGAAAAAAATGATGGCACCTTTTTGTGTCTGCTATTTACAGTCATAAACTGAAATTATTTGTTACTGGTTGAATCTCTAACAATTAATGACATTTCAATGACATATTAAACCATGGCTTTTAAAGCTGTTCTCTCACCCCTCAATTTCCCATAACCGACATAAATGTCTATTACAGAACTTAGCACACTTTGCCTTGCTCAATCTCACAAATAACATGCATGTTTTATACCCTGCAAAAGCTCCTTATGGGCAGGAATTGTTTCTATCAATCTTTTTTCCTTGTTTCTTATTTGAAATATCCACATACTGAACATCATGTTCTATTCTTAGTAGACACTAAAGTATCTATTTAACCAAAGTGCATTTCTTCTTAATTTTCACTATGCATTTTACCTGTACATCATCCAGTTTAGCTACATACTAGTAATTAAAAAGTCAGTTGACTTAAAAATGTCTATTTTCTTTGACTTAGTTATTTCATGTCTTTAAATTTAAACTGATAAAATAATTACATACTCAAAGACATATATAACATGTTACACAGAATCCTAAAAACAAGGGGGGAAAAAACTAAACATTCAAAGGAGATTATATAAATTGCACATCCAGATTATTATGCAATTTCTCAAATATTATGCAACTAGTAAAATAAAATATTTTAGATGAATTATTTTTATGACACGGGGAAATGATCATGACATATTAAATGGAAAAAAGCCAAGTTATAACGGACTACAATTTGTCCTTTGTATAAGTCTACATGCAAACACAAACATGTAAGATTTAAAAAAAGACTGAAAGCCCTAGCCAATGTGGCTCAGTTGGTTGAGCATTAATTATCCCATGCACCAAAAGGTAGCCGGTTCAATTCCTGGTCAGGGCACATACCCGCATTGCAGGTTTGGTCCCTGGTTGGGGTGTGTATGTGGGAGGAAACCGATCCATGTTTCTCTCTCACACTGATGTTTCTCTCCTCTCTCCCTCTCCCTTCCTCTCTCTCTAAAATCAATAAAAAACGTATTTTTAAAAAACTCTTCCCTACTCTGATATCATAAAAAAGACTGAATACAGGTTGTCCCAAAAAAAAGTATACACACTTAGAATGATTATAAAGTCAGTGTTTATTAATACACAGTTCATTTTCAAAATTTAAAAGAATCTACAGAAATGAATAATTTTTTTGTTAATGCCTGTTTTCAAACTGGTGACCATTCTGGTCCAGGCATTGCTGATAACGCAAAGCAATGGAATCGCAAACATCAAGAATCATTTCATTCAGTATTTGTGCGTCCTCAATCCATTGACTGTTGCTGGCTTTATCTTTTATGTATCCCCATTAAAAAAAAAAGTCTAGTGGCACTTTAGGATAAATTTTCTTTGTTCAAAGCTTAGTCTGACTTCAAATCAGTAAAACCTGAAAAGGAGTGAAAATTAGGTGAGTGTATACATTTTTGGGGGATACCCTATATGTATAACATATTTTGATTTCTAGTTTCCCAATTATTTACAATGTACATAAATTAGAGGGTTTTTTATTCTTAAATTTTTAAATTGATTTTAGAGAGAGAGAGGAAAGGAGATGAAGAGAGAGAAAACACCAATAAGAGAGAGAAGCATCAATTGCCACCTCCACTGGGGATCAAGCTCGCAACCTGGACATGTGTCCTGAGCAGGAATCGAATCGGCAACCTCTTGGTGCATGGGATGACGTTCAACCAAGCACACCAGCCAGGACAACATAAATTAGTTTTACAATCAGAAAAAAAAATCTACTTAAAGTTGCTTTTTAAAAATTAGTTTAAAAGGTCACTATATTTCTTATTACTAGTTTTTTAAAGAAAACACTAAATATCACCCATAAAAAGTAACAAAATTCAATATGAAAGACAATATACATTTGATACAGATATCTAAATTAGTGTTGCAACAGGTAGAGAAATAGAATAATTCTTCAGAATTTTTATTTTGGCTTAAGAAATCACACAATGCCAGTTTGTTTACTTTTTACTTAACTATTAATACAGCACCATTGTTGTTACACAAACTTCAAGTAATATTTTAAGTTGCTCAGAAGTTATTTTCAAATGGTAACCAAGTGAGTGTTATTTTATGTAAATACTAAAACTAAAAACCTTGGCTATTTCTCAAAACCATTCAAGTTCCTATTAGATGATTCTAAACCCCGGAGCCCCCTCTACCTTTCATCATGGCTACCAGGTTTCCCAGGTTTATATTAACCCTGGCTTGTACTTTAGGTGATAAAGACAATCAAGTGCTAAGAAATTCAGAGAAAATATCTTATCTGACTGAACAACATCAACCTTATTTATCACCCCAGAACTAAATAATTCTGCACCCATCCTAATAAATGGAACCTTTTAGGTGCTAATACAAAATCAAATAAGTAATTCTATATTAGAGAAAATTAAGGAAAAGTTATTGATATTTAAATAATTCTCCTGAATGAAGAAAACCTTAAGAAAAATTAATTGTATTAACTTCAGTTTAATGAACAAGTATAACTTTACATCACTGATATAAAATTGCCCATTACAGGGTTGCCCTTAAATCAGAGAAAAATTTACATACTATCACCTTGCAGTAATTCCTTGGACACACTGCAAGGAGAGCCTTGTGACACAGCATTCACATTACCTTCTTGTTCAGAAGACATCGGTTCTTGTTTAATCTGAATCGATGAGTCTGGAGCAGGAACACTGCCATGGGCTTGGAAAGTAGGAGATGTGGGTACTTGGCCAGGGACTCCTGTGGATGATGGAGGCTCCAGAAAAACTGGGAAGAAGGGAGCAGGCAGCAGCGTGGTATCAGCAGATGTTTGAGATCTACTGCTCCTCTGTTCTCGAGTAAGGCTACAGGGAACCTGGTATGGGCGTTCAGAAGGTTCATATGTTTCTGAAATGGAATACATACATACAAAAGCAAAAATGTTATCTGAAAAGTCACTTGTTTCTTAGCCAATATGTATTTTTAAACATTATACAAGAATTTAAAGACTCTCCTAATTCTTCCAAATAGATTTTCATCTATCTACAAAACCATCAAGGATATAGACAGAATAGGCATTAATAATCTAATTTTTCAGATTTTAAGTGACTTATCCAAGGTCATATAGATACTAATAGAAGAGCCAAGATTTGAACACAGGTGTTTTGATTCCTAACCCAAGGCTCCTTCTGTAATATACTGTCTCGATTGCTAAGCATTTTGAGGATGGATGTACAGTCTTACAGGCCTTTCCATAGGAGAATGAAACCAAAGAGACATGAGAGAAACCGTATGATTTTTTAATGACTATTTCAATTCCCCTCTATAGAGGAAAAAAAAACAACAACAAAAACAAGTTACAGAGGGCCCAATCCGAATACCTTGCAATCCCTGTAGAATTTGTATTCTATGGGTCCTCAGTGCACTCATCTCCATAGTTATCTAAAAATAAAGTATTTTGTCATGAATTTTCAAATCCAATTTCAGAGATTATCCATTTTCATTAAATGTTCCACCTGCTGTTACCTGCTGCTTGAGCATAAGAAGCCTCTGAACTTCAACATAAGCTGTCTGAAGTGCTGCCCGGGCTTGCAGAAGGTTGTTATCCATGCACTGCAACGACTTGCTCAGTTCTTCCTCCCTTAAAGAAATACTCAGCAGCTGGTCGACCTGCGAACGTTCTGCCAGAAGAAACCATAGGCTTGTTTAATACTGGAGACTCCTCTTCAATATTTATTTAATAAAACAGCTCCTCAGAACATGAAACTACATCAGTATCTAGGATAAGCCTTTATTTCTCCCAATAGGTACCAGAGACTCATTTAATCTCACAAATCATATAGTCAATTCAGTTGCTGTCAGAGCTGGAAACCAAAAGTGAGAATTGGTAAGATGAAGGTGCCTGAAAGGTTCAGGAGTACCACCGCGTGGTACCATCTTACCTAATAACCATTTTCCACCACTACCCTTCCAGTGAAATCTTTGTCCCAAGCAAATCCACTGCTGCAGTTTCCACTTCCCTTTCTTCCTTTATCTACCACCCTCTTCACCCAGGGCTTTGCTTAGATTGGACCCCAGATCTGTTCTGCTTGCACTCTCCTCCCAATCCACATTTTTCTAGTCTGTTAATTAACATAGTTATGTTTATTAGAGAAATCTGCCTGAAGGAGCTATAGCAAACTTTTCCATTACTGCAGTAGAAAATCAAACTTTTTAGTTACTTTAAATAAAATGTTCTACTATATGTATATATTTGTCATCTTTGTCTCTTCCCCATTCAATATGCCAGGACCTCTTTCCTGAACACCAGACCCACATACCTAACTACCAACTTGATATCTCTCCCTAGGTGTCTGTAAGGTCCTTTTTAAAAATAAATAAATAAAATATGTTTTTATTGATTTCAGAAAGAGGGAGAAGGAGAGATGGAAACATCAATGATGAGAGAATCATTGATGGGCTGTTTCCTGCACGCCCCCTACTGGAATTGAGCCGGCAACCTGGGCAGGTGCCCTGACCGAGAGTCAAACTGTGATCTCCTGGGTCATGAGACGACACTCAGCCACTGAGCTACACCAGCCAGGCTCTAAGGTCCTTTAACTCAAGGGATCCAAAAGGGAACTCATCATCTTCCTCTATTCTTAACCTGCTCCTCATGGAGTTTTCTAGCTCTACAAATGATGTCACCATCCACACAGTTGCCCCAACTAGAAACTGGGGTCATCCTTGACTCCTACCTTACACATCACTTCCAATCACCCAAGGTTCTTTCAATCACTTCCCGCACTAGCTCTCATACTGGATCAGGGTTAGAGTCAGTGTAAAGCAAGCGTTGAAGAAGCCTATCAGTCAGTGGGCCACGTTAAAAACTTCTCTCCTCAATTCACACAAGAAAAGCAACCAAGATTCATAAAAAATGAGACTGAAAGAAATGGATAAATGACCAAAATGGACAAAAATTTACTGAAGGCCTGTTCCTCTTCATCCCGTTGAAAAGGCCCAATGAGACTTTCTGTTTTTATATTGAACTCAATTTGTCCAAGATATATATCAACTTTAGCTTACAGGTATATGTGGCATCATGTATTTCTCCTACAGATGCAACTGTATGTTATGTATATAGTAGAAAATCAAACTTTTCCATGCACTAAGCAAGACAACAAAAATGTAAAAAAAATAATAAATGGGCGATCAGTGTTTGAAAACCACAAACTATATTATGTGAAGTTGTAAAAAGGTTGAATTGCTAAAAGAACAATTTCCTTCTGCCAGAATATTCTGCACTATACCTTTCTTTCCTTTAATTTTCCTTCTTTTATTTTTTCTCTCAAGACTTGGGAGTTCAGGAGAAGATCCATCCTGAGGAAATACAGAAAATTGAATAATATTAAATATATAATGGTCATTATCCAGAAGGGGAAAAAAAGAATTAGTTCTGAGATAGTTATACAATATTCTTTATTATTTTTACCATCACTAACAGGATAGTAATAGAAGTATCCTGTACATGATATGAACTACAATATTAGCTGAATAAACATATACATATGATCTTTTTTTTAAATCTAAGGTCAAGTACCTTTTTAGCATTTTAGAGGTAGTGAAGCCCACAGGGCAGAGGCAAAGCATTTCATACCTTGGTAAAGCAAGACCTAGAAGCATGGACAAAACCAGTGATACATCTATCTGATTTCATCGTGGTAGTTTCTACTTTAAATTTCAGCAATAAAATATTCACAATGAAAAGCTAAACAGTCTATTGAGACAAGCCCTAAGATATTGGCTTTGTCATAGAACAATCTCTCACCCAACTACAGTATCTAGCTCAAAGGGGGGCAGAGCTAGAATTTGAATCCAGGCCTACAGCCCAAGCCCTTATTCGCTCTGTTATATTATATTGCCTCAGTATTAAAGGAAATAGCCCATTTTCTCACAGTGCTAGATTCCAGACTGTATTACCGTCACAATTCTTTCTTTTCAGAAAGGGTTTCTGAAAGGGTTAAGCAATATTAGCAACAGAGATGCCAGAACAGAAGTGGTGTCAGTGCAGGAACGGATTCTGAAAGGCCATGCTGGAGGAATGAAGTACGAAAGATAGAGTAACAGAAACTACAAATATTTCTAAGACTATGCTCATATAGATGCACTCTATTAGTATAAAACTTGGTGTTAAGCCTAAAACTCCTAGATCCAACAAGCCTGCATGCCCTCCGAAGGCAACACTAGAGTGCCTTTCTTCAGGAGCTGTACAGAATGCATCATGGAAACAGATAAAGTTACAGCTGAAGATGTGGCTTATTCCTTGTCAGGTGATAGAAAAATGATTGGCTTGATGACTAATTTTAGAGATGACTTCATATTTTCCTAGTACTGTACAATCATATTCCATTACATCACAGTTAGTAGAATTACTCAGTGAAAGAAACCAGTAGAATAATCTGAAAGTAAGAGTAAGAACCTCACAAGTCTTCTAGGCCGGAGTAGGGAGAACCACAACCCTAGACACCCAAGAAAAATTAAACCGTTAAATCTTTCTTACAATATCCAAGTCACCACATAAAATGTTCTACAAAAGGCACAGAAAATCATACTCACTCCAGTGGCTCTTCGTTTCTTTCTAATGTTCTGACCGTCATTTTGTTCAGCACCAGAGGTACAGCTACTATCTGTGCCTGCATCTGCCAAATTAGAGCCTGCAAGAGCTGAGGATACACATGACCATAACGAGTTCCCTTCTCCATTACTCTCCTTGGCATTCAGATTCTCTGAAGGTGGTCCAGAACTCTCCTGGCTGTTCAGGTCTTTTGTCAAATGCATCAAAGATTTTGCACAGTCAGAAGGTAACTGTGCACTGTGCCGCCTTCGAGGAGCAACATTTTCAGCCCTTTCACCTGTTCTGAGGGAGGCGGCCAGAGGTGTCACTTCCTGCTTAAGGCCCACGGTTGTTTTTGGACTCTGTGCAGCCCTCAATGAGTTACTAGGTGAAAAAATCTGCTGGGGCTCATTTTCTTTGCCTGCACTTTCCTCACTGAAGAAGCTATACACAGGAGCCCTGTCCATGATCACACTGCTCTCAGAAAGGCTTCGTTTCCTTGCCAATCCAGGAGATGAAGAAATGGACACATCTTCCCACTGGAATCCTTCTAGATTGGACAGATCAGGCTCCTCATCCAAATCCAAGACCTCTTGTTCATTTTGAACTAGAGGCACCATTTCTATGCCAAACCTTAAGAAAGAAAGAAAAAGATCATAAATCCAACGTGGTTGAGAGAAGTGAGCACCACTTCACGTTTCAGCCTCTGCTATGCACTGAAATGACAAACATAAATAAGATGGTTCGGCCCGCGAGTCTGAGAGCTTTACGTAAATAACCACAGTATGAGTTTTGTATTATAAGTATTGTAAAGCAAGACACAGAGAGAAGTATGTCTAAATTAGCAATTGTTACTAAATTAGAGATTAGCATACAGCGATGAGAATATGAGAAAGTAAAAATTGAGGTTTTTATTTCATATGGAGCTTGAAACCAACACGTACGTACTTTTAATAACAAACCAAAACAAACAGAAATGTCTATTAAGCATTCACAAATGTCAGACATTATACTAAGAACTTTATATTTGTTTTTTGTTGTTGAATGTCTTACTGATTTTTTAGAGAGAGGAGGAGAAGGAAGGAGTGAGAGAAACATCAATGTGAGAAATATCAATCAGTTGCCTCCTGTATACACCCCGACTGGGTATATGCCCTGACAGGAAATTGAACTGTGCACAGGATGATGCTCAACCAACTAAGCCACACCGGCCAGGGCAGAGCTTTATATTTGTAATCTCAATACTCACAAGTTATGGGAAAGGAAAAGGGGGTATAATAAATACATTACTTCAATAAGGATAGAAATTTAAACTGGGAGAGCTATATAACTGTAATCAGCAGGGTGATGTTCAAGTAGCAAATCTGTGTTGAATGCTGCTTTACCATTTGGAAAGTTTCGTACCTCAACATCAGATGATTAGCCAAATTATTACGCAAGTACTTAAGAGAGAATACTTTGTGATCACACTTATAATGCCCAGAGTAAATACAAGAGGGTAAAGATTCTAAGTAAAAGAGAATGAGAACCGTAATACTTAAAGTTGCATCACTCAATGAAGATCTATAGATAAGAATCAGATTTATATACTTTTTAATGCTGTTACTTTCTGGCCCCTAAAACCAAAGTGCAGGATTTCTGATTTATTTATTTTTTTTTACTATGTCCCCAAATCATTTCTCAGAAGTAGCGTGCTTCTTTTTAACCTGAATTTCCTGCTAGGAAACACTTTATTCCATTTCTTATAGAGTAGCAGTCACTCTCTGATAATTAAACCCAACATTTACAACACATTTAAAAAAATTGATTATTAGAGGAAGGGAGGGAGGGAGAAAGGGAGAGGGAGGGGGAGAGAGAGAAAGAGAAAGAGAGAGAGAGAGAGAGAGAGAGAGAGAGAGAGAGAGAGAGAGAGAGAGAGAGAGAGAGAGAGAGAGAGAGAGAGAGAGAGAGAGAGAGAGAGAGAGAGAGAGAGAGAGAGAGAGAGAGAGAGAGAGAGAGAGAGAGAGAGAGAGAGAGAGAGAGAGAGAGAGAGAGAGAGAGAGAGAGAGAGAGAGAGAGAGAGAGAGAGAGAGAGAGAGAGAGAGAGAGAGAGAGAGAGAGAGAGAGAGAGAGAGACATTGATTTGTTGTTCCACTTATTTATGCCTTCATTGGTTGATTCTTGTATGTGCCCTGACCAGAGATTGAACCCACAACTTTGGTGTATCAGAACGACGCTCTAATCAACTGAGCTACCAGGCCAGGGCACACATATTTTTTGCAAACATTTAATTAAATGTAACAAGAATTCTTCTCCTGACCTGGGTCAAAGGGTAAACTTGAAGAGAAACGGACACTGAAAAGCAGCACATACCTGGGTAAGCCTTTGCCTAGCTCTTGCTTTTTCTTGGTTACTTGATGAATGACCTGTTCCCAGTTGACATTTCTCCGAGATGCATTTAGAATCTGCCGAAGAGTTGGCTTGAGCCCAGATTCCTTCTCTGTGTCACTCTTTCGATGGCCACTAATGTTGCGAATGCGGCGAGCACTATTGAGGTTTGGCTCAGGAAGGTGTGCTCCAGTTTTGCTCTTCAAACTAATGTGCCGGGTGAGATCTCTTTGGAGTGACGCAGGAAAGCCAAGCTTACTTAGTTCAGGCAGGAGAAGGCCTGAGGGCTGAGTTATATCACTCTTTTGAAGCTCTGCATCCAAGCTAGTGCTCTCAAAGCCCTCTGTTTCATAAGATACATGAGACTTAACAGACTCATCAACCTGTCCATCTTCTAGAGAGGCTTTTAAGTCTAGTAGTAAGCCAGAGTGTGGGCTGGCTACAGATGTCACTTGTAACTCAGATTCTTTCTGGTGAACTACTGACTCACATGGGGAAGTGGATAGTTTTCTAGGTGTTTTCAGGTTTTGGTGCTCTCCCTCTTTCTCGTCAGCATTTTGGGTGCTGCAGGATAAGACTTCTGTAGTTGCAGAATCCAGGGTTCCAATTTTTGTTCTATGCTTTTCCACGTCAGATATTTCTCCATCACTCTCATCTTCTAATGAGTGTACTTGAAACTCAATCTTCAAAGATCCTTTTTCAGACTCTTCTACATTCCTACTTGCTTTTTCATAGTTCCTGGTCCTTTTAGAAGTGCTAAGAAGTGGATCTTGCAATGACTCATGAATCTGTAGCACCTCTTTGGCTTTTTGTAGTGTATCACTTAAATTTTCATCAGATTCCCTCTGAGTGCCAAATCTACTTTTATTCCCTTTTAAAACACGAGGACATGAACTTTGCAATTTGGACCTGTAAGAAGAGCCACGATTGTCTTCCCCCTTGTGTTTGTTTAAGGAATTTGAATGTTTTCCAGGAAAAAAAGAATTCGCTTTGGTGTTTTTTGAGGGATTCTTTGAATCTTGCTTTTGAGGGACTGATTTAGTGACTGGAATTGGAAGAAGCGGGGATTTTAATGATGGCATCTTATTTAAGTTATACGCTTGCTCAGAAGTGGCTTTGTGATTAAGAGATCCAGTATGTGTTTCTTTTTGTGTTTTCAATGTTGGGGAATTATTTGTTTCATCAATTTGGGATGCCTGTGTTCCTTGGATTAAAGTAAAATCAAACAAAGGCTTATCTATCACTTCTGACTTGTTCCCAGTAAGGTCCTTCATTCCTGATTGTAAATCCAGAGCCTTCTGGGACGGGTAAGGAGTCCAGCGATGGTGCTTTTCCCTTGCGACACTGCCGTTCTTCCCACCAATTTTGGAAGCTATGGTCTCTGTCTGCTTAGCGGTTTGGCTTTCTGGCTGCTCAAAATTGAAGTCAAATAAGATTTGTGAAGAAAATTTATCACTTGTATATCCTTTAGAAGGACCTCTGTATGTGGCAACTGTACTAACTTTGTCATTTTCTTGCCGCTGCCATTTATATCTCTCTTGATTGTATTTGTTTGACTTGGATTTCTTGTTCCATGGCTTAGCCATGTCTTCCATTTGACAGTTAGAATTTCTGTTTCTGCCTGGTTGAAATTTGTCTCCAGGACTACTGTAATTCCAACTATTTGTATTGCGTACATTGGATTTCCAGTTTCCGTTACTGCTGTTCACATGCCAACTGGAAAAGCCACCTGTTCCTTCAGAATGCCAGCTGGAATTCCTTCCTGTACCATTGTGATTCCAATCTACTGTTCCATTATTTGAATGCCAACCACCTCCAGAATTACTATGGTTATGAAACCAAGTTGAGGAGCCTCCTGCAACACCCTTATGCCACCCTCTTGGTCCAGCACCATTCCTCAAAGAATGTGTAAAGTTGTTTTTCCTCGTATTACTAAAGCCATCTTTCTCCCACTTCCAATCCCGCTGAGGAGGTCCCCGATGGTGCCATGCTGGCTGGCTGTAGCTTTCTCTGTCTTGGTAAGGAATTCTGTCTTCTCGTCTCCGCTGGAGCTGCCTGTCATCAGATTTTACTTCTTGGCTGCCACTGGAAGGTTCATCTTGTCTGAAAGAAAAAGTTTTTCATTACTGATTTAAAGGAATTCTTTTACTTCCTTTAAAGGCATAACCCACCAAACTTCCCCTCAACCTCCCTCCCCTGTTACTTAGACTATTTTATAATAGAGTCCATTTTTATTTTTAATAGTAGTTGCTGGCCAGGGCCAGCATTTTGAAAATAAAAACAATTATATTTTGCAGCTATGGTTAGTTATCATAATACAATTTAAGTTCAGCTGGTCTTAATATTATGATTTCTCCAGTTGTTGGTTCTTTCTGGAAAAAACCCAGTTTCTTAACCTATTTTAAATGGCAAGATTTTACTATGCATAACCATGTTCATTAATAAACACTTTATGCCCTAACCGGTTTGGCTCAGTGGATAGAGCATCGGCCTGAGGACTCAAGGGTCCCAGGTTCGATTCCGGTCAAGGGCATGTACCTTGGTTGAGGACATAACCCCGGTGGGGAGGGTGCAGGGGGCAGCTGATCGATGTTTCTCTCTCATCGATGTTTCTAACTCTCTATTCCTCTCCCTTCCTCTCTGTAAAAAAATCAATAAAATATATTTAAAAAAATAAAAAAATAAACACTTTACCATGCACACATTCAATGACTGTTAGTGGAGAATGAAAACTTTTATGCACTGTTCCTATTCCTAAAGGGCTTACAACCTAGCTGACAAAATAAGGTCACAGAGTAAAATAGCACAAAACAAATAAGCAGCACCCACAATAAGTGCTATAAGGCATTCCATGTCCTAGAGGTTTTTATAAAGAAGCTACAGCTGTATGAACTATTCATGTTAGACAAGGAGCCCACAGAAATGGAATTAAATTTAAGGAAACATCACAGGAATATGTATAAAATTATATCCTCTACAAACTTCCTATGGTATGCCTAGCATAGTGCTTAGCATATGGAAGGTGCTCAAAAAACTGAGTAATACTAGATAAAATTTATTGAGTACCTACTAATTGTCAGGCATTTAATTTTCACAACTCTGAAACAAACAGTCTTATTATTCCTACTTTTTAGCTGAGGAAACTGAGGATTAGAGAAGTAACTTGTCCAGAATAGCACAGAGAGTAAGTGGTATGACAGAGATTTGGACCTTGGCAGTCTGACTCTAGAGTCTCCACTCTCAGCCACTAGGCCTTGATAGAATGAATATCCCAAAACAAAGTTTCTGTAGTTGGGTCACCTGTTCTGAACTTGACATGAATCTTAAACTCAGTACTGACTTTATTTTTAAAAAATATATTTTTATTGATTTCAGAAAGGAAGGGAGATGGAGAGACAGTAACATCAATGATGAGAGAGAATCATTGATCAGCTGCCTCCTGCACATACCCAAGTGGGGATCGAGCCCGCAACCCGGGCATGTGCCGGGAATCCAACTGTGACCTCCTGGTTCATAGGTCAACACACAACTAACTGATGAGCCATGTAGGCCAGGCTCAGCACAGACTTTAATTGGCTCTAAAAGCTTCTAATGTCTTCGAGATTAGAAGTTAACTATAATAATTAGAAGTTACCTCTAACATGAATTTACTGAGAAGCTCTTTTATCCTCTGACTTAATGTTTAATCATTTACACAGATAAGCTAACAATGGCACAAGAGTGTAATAACCAAAATAGAAGTTAGTCTCCTAGAGGCTCTACGAACACCTTAAAACAAGAGTAAAGTACAGCTACTTCACTACACTGAAAGTAGTGAGAATGTCATTTGAAGGACTGAACAATTAAAGAACCAAGTTGCCACTGACATTTTAAAACTAAGAAAGTCTCCTTCAAGGACTTGTTCAAAAAGCATTTAGCATGTAGAGTAAAAATTATTTTCTTTTTATATTCAAACCACTAACTAAAAATGAAAGGTAGACCAGATATAACTAGTACTCAAGAAGGATCTCTAAAATCTTATTTTAGAATTTGAAATGTTTCTCATCATGCCCTAGGACTTGCAAAATTACCCCATCTCATAACTGGTTCTCTCTTTTACTCATATCTGAAAATTTCTGCTTCAATAATTAAAATATTTAGACCACAAGTCAGCAATTTTAAAATACAACAAACAGCCTAATACATTAATATAGATGTAGGTATGAAATTATGTAGTACAAGCAGGAAAACTTACACTGCTGAAATGATCTTGTCAAATTTAAAAGATAAATTTATTCAATAAATATTTACTAAAGCACTTAAACATGAAAACATAAATCAAATATGGTAGAAGCACCATGTTAATTCAATTAGGCAAAACAGTTTTTCCTAAGGGATGCAATAAGAATATTATATAAAATAGTCATATGAAGCTTATATACTAATACTTTTTCTACAAGAAAATTTGGGTATCAAATAAAAATAATTTTTTAATAACCCAAAACTTTGGAACTAATAAAAATAGTCCTACATAGAGTTATCAACATGGTAAAAATTTCAGATATGTAGCAGCAATAGCTAGCTTTATTAGGAAAAACACTGAGTGTTTTTTTTTAAGTAGATAGTACAGTAGTTCAAGAAAGGATTCCACTGCCCTTTTATGTGTAAGACAGCAACTTCGAGCTAAACTTTACAACTAAGATAAGATTGAATGCTATAGGCTGACAAGTATGGAAATGGAAAAGGTATTCTCTACTATCCTGTTTCAGATAAGCTTTTTTAAAAAAATCAAAATCATTACTCACCGACTTTGTTCTTTTCTTTGCTCTATTAACTGGACGAGTTCCTTGTCAAAATAATCTTCTTCTTCTTCTTCTTCTCCCTTTCCATCATCTTCTCTTTCCTGGGCATCAATGTTATCTTTGTGCAACTGGCCAGAAATATGCTTTGCATATGCGGAAAGACCCACTTCTGTGACCCCGCACACCCGGCACTCATGACTGCTGTCCCTAGGGAAAGAGGGAGATGAGGGGCATTCAATTCTCCCCACTGGCATGGCACACGCACCAGGTCTGCTATAGTTTCCTCTGAAAGACACCGCACACTTTGGCACAGTGGAAAATTAGTGCTAATCAATTTCAATAGTCCTTTCATCCCTTTTAATGAGTTTGTTCATAGTTTACTTTTTTAATGAATTTAAGATTCTTTTCCAGCAATCAAGAGGCAGTACACTTCAGAATAATGTCGTTTAGGAGGAGAAATCTTCTTGAATTGCTGTACTTAAAATCTTGCCAGAGGAAACATGGTGAAAGGGGAGGCAGGGTAGGGGGCTCAGAGCAAACAGAAGTTGCTCTAGAGCACACCCATGGTGCCAGCTGCACTCAGGAAGCCTGGTGACAGCACTTCCATTTAATATCTGGCTCAAGAACTTTCTCCCAGTGAAAGTGAAGGGGTGGAGAAAAGAGTAGGCAGCAGAGCCAATCCCAACTGGGTAACTAAATCGAACAGCTGGAGCTCTGCCTGGAATGTGAAGATTCCGGACCCAGGGCAAATGACCAGAGTAGTCTCAGCAAACTTTTTTGGTCTGAGTGATACATGTGATCTACATTCTGCATCAGAAGGGCTTATTTTAAAGGGAATGGAAAGCATTTCAGTTGTAGGAAGTCAACAGCTGTGCTAGGCAAATGGTTTTTCTCAAGTTTCAGAATATGCTACAGTTTAGAGAAGCAAAACCAAGTTCTTAGTTAAGAAATTGATTGAGCAGACTTTTACTTTCACACTCAGTGGTAAAGCTCATCCTTGGCCAGTTCAAGAAGCTGTAGGAGACGAGTAATTTAACTGCTTTTTTAGCGTCCTGAAATCCCTTGATGGTTCAGCTGTCTATGTGGTCATTAAGAAACAACTCAACTCTTAGCATTTGTCTTGGGGTTACACTAGTGATTCTTTTGCATTTCCTATACCGATCTATTAAAAACAAAACAACTCAACACAGAAGACATGGTGTCTTGGATAAAACAGACTCTATATATATATACACGACTCTGTCTTCCCCTCACATATATCCATCAAGACATGGCAGAATTCATATCAATTAACCAGAAGAGACCTTCAAAACTGAGTACTTCATTTACTAGTTACAAATCACCTGAACATTCATTAAAAAAAAAAAAAAAGCAGCTTATTGAGCAACTACTAAATTCTAGGCACCATGCTAAGTAGATGACTACAAGTTGTCTAGGGTGACAAAATATAAACAAAAAATGCCCACTATGCCCAGTAAATTTAAAAACAAAGAACACACTATTATTTTACTTTGCAAGAATCATAGAAAATGCCGCAGAAAAATGAGGAAAATTCATAGTTTTTTGGGCTGTGTAATCTTAAATGCTCTGGATAAATATAGTTTTTGACATTAAGATTCATTTTAATAAGTTCTAACCAGGTTCCCTGAAAACATCATTACCTGATTACCTTAAATATTAATATTATAATTCCTTCTAATCCTCGAGGAACTTAATACACTGTTTTCACGAGTTTTCCACCTCATTTATATACTTAGAGAAGAATAATCCTCAACTTTCTCCAATTTATCAGGGATAGCCATACTCTTCTCTCATGCAATTAAAATTAAGGTAGCTTTCCAAGTGAATGTTAACTTGTAACAGAAAACAAGCCTTTTCTCACAGCAACACAGAAATAATTTAAAATATATAAATATAAATCAACCCAAATGGCAGCATCAGAAGTCTCTGAAGACTGTAACTAACATAGCATACATAGTTTATATTATAATAAAAATTTAAATCAACTGAATTTTCTGGTTAGAAAATCTTTTTGGTTTTAAACTCTCTAAAATTATGGAACGTGTTCTAGTCTACTTTTCTATCTAAAAGCTTACAGAATGCTAACCTGTATATTGCAGTACCAAGAATATCATTCTAAAAGGTATTCTTAAGTAAAATCCCTGATTTTATCCTTATTTTAAAATGCAGACAATTTTCCTCATGTCCAAACTATCAAAATCCCTCTCTCTTTAAAGACATAATTGGGCCCTGACTGGTTTGGCTCAGTGGATAGAGCATCGGCCTGCGGACTCAAGGGTCCCAGGTTCGATTCCGGTCAAGGGCATGTACCTTGGTTGCGGGCACATCCCCAGTAGGGGGCGTGCAGGAGGCAGCTGATCGATGTTTCTCATGTTTCTAGCTCTCTATCCCTCTCCCTTCTTCTCTGTAAAAAATCAACAAAACATATTTAAAAAAAAAAAGACATAATTGGAAGGCCACACTGACTTTTTAAAATATTAAGGAATGTAGTATAAAGTAGGCAGTATTTAACTCTGTTAAAAATAAACATTCATTTTCATAAACCCACACACTTTGCAATCTCCAAAGCACAAGCATATGTTGGAAATGTAACAGACACTTAAACACAGATTTTTAAAACATTTCTGCTTTCCTTGCAAAAACTAATGATTAACCATGGTTCCAAAGTTATTTGATAGAAAAACACCTTAAGAGATCCTGCCCAGAAGGGTACAGGCAACATAAAAATTAACAATGGAAACAATTTATCAAAAACCAGTAATCCCTAACATTTTTCTTATAAATGAAATCTAGTTTAAAGAAGAGAGAGATAAGCTTTACAAGAAACATCAAAAAGAGAAAAGAGGATCCATATTTATCTATGGAAAGAACGGAGTAGGTCAACCACAAGTCTTAAAAATTAGAACATATCTGTGTCTGGAGACAAGCATATTCTATACACAATATGCACTCATGCTTCCATAGATGGTGCCTGGGAAAGCACATGTTTTAAAAAGTTAACAGCATTTTAAATAAAATCTTAATAATGAGACTTCAGTTCTTTATCAATAACCAGTTAAAATATTACTTTGTATAAATATGTAAAGTAATTCTTGGAAAAAAGTACTGCTTTACTTCTTGACTAATGAAGGCAAAAATTCTCCTCAGGGTGTGCAAAAGGCCAAAATTAGCTTCATCCTGTTACCACCCAATTTCCTCTCGTGTGTGAAAGGCAAAGCCTTAAGATATTCTAGCCATAAGCTTTTCTTTATTAAGCTTGCTCTAACTATACCACAACAGCTGGTTGATAAATAAAGGTTTGTGCCTTTTTAATAGCATCTACCCATAGAAACTACTTTCACGCCACACATCTGAACAAGCATATTAGGAAAAAAATAAGGAAATGCTTCAGATGTCCACAATTATGAACCAAATAAGATAAGTTATTTAATTCTCAATCAAGCTGGCATTCAAAACCTAAAAAATATGCTCTTTACATTTTTAACCAGATCACAACCAAAAGTTATAGTGATCTATACTAATAAAAGGCTAATATGCTAATTAGAGTGGACGTCTTCCAGACCTCCTTCCAGATAAAGCCGCAGCAGCTGCCTGAGGCTCAGGCAAGCCGCGGATGGCATGGCTGCTGCTGCAAGGGCCAAGGCTCAGGAAGCCGCAGCGGCCGGCAGTGGCAGCAGCAGAGGCGTGATGGGGGCATTGCCTTCCCCTGATCGGCCAGGTCACCTCCCACAGAGTGAGGCCAGGCTGTCAGTAGGACATCTCCTGAGGGCTCCCAGACTGTGAGAGGGGGCAGGCTGGATTGAGGGGGACCCCCCCCCCGCCCCAGTGCACAAATTTTCGTGCACTGGGCCTCTAGTACAAATATAAAAAGAAACAAGAAGCCATAACATCATGAAATTCAGAGGGGGGGAAAAATCACAAAATGATGATAAAAAGAAAAATAAATAATAATTGATTACTATTTGTCTCTATGCATAAACTAATGGTAACTGCTTGTCCCTACAGTAAATGCTCCAAGTAAGTAGATGATTTGAGATTCTGTTTGTTTTTTATAGTTTTGTCAGCTGTTATTTCTTGCTATCTGCTTGCCTTCTCTCTTATAATTTGTTACAGGCCAGAAAACCATTATAACTTATTAGCATGGTATCTAAAAAATGAGTAAATAAGTATTAAAGTGCTCTCCTCTAAATAAAAAGAGTTTGGATGTTAAAGCGGACATTTATATTGTCAGCTCAGAGGCTTCTAATGCTTTCTCTTTAATTATTTGATTATGCTCCAAATAACAAAATGGTAGACAAATTCTCCATGGCAGTTAAATTCTCCATGGGAGGAAGGAAAAACAAGTTACAGAAAAATACATAATGTGTGTGTATAGCTAAATATAAATCTATGTATACACACAGAAAGAGGTTTGGATAGGATACACACCGAACTGTTGACTTTCTTCTAAGACAGTGATGGCAAACCTATGACATGCGTGTCAGAGGTGACACGCAAACTCATTTTTTTCGTTGATTTTTCTTTGTTAAATGGCATTTAAGTATATAAAATAAATATCAAAAATATAAGTCTTGCCAAAACCGGTTTGGCTCAGTGGATAGAGCGTCGGCCTGCGGACTGAAGGGTCCCGGGTTCGATTCCGGTCAAGGGCATGTACCTGAGTTGCGGGCACATCCCCAGTGGGAGATGTGCAGGAGGCGGCTGATCGATGTTTCTCTCTCATCGATGTTTCTGACTCTCTCTCTCTCTCCCTTCCTCTCTGTACAAAATCAATAAAATATATATAAAAAATATATATATATATATATAAGTCTTTGTTTTACTATGGTTGCAAATATAAAAAAAATTCTATATGTGACACGGCACCAGAGTTAAGTTAGGGGTTTTCAAAATGCTGACACGCCGAGCTCAAAAGGTTCACCATCACTGTTCTAAGAGGAGAATAGGAGTTGGGGCTTGAGAGGGGGAGGGAGGTGTTAGACGACTTCTACTTTTTTTACTTTTTATGATTCTGTATTCATTATGAACATGAATCTTAATCAAAATTTGTTTTTTAAATGTTTTAAATAGCTGATTAGTGATCTTTGAATATAATAGGCTTTAATCTACCAATAAAATCAATTTCTCTCCTAATGACTAGATTTTATTGACCTCATTTGTTTTATTTTATAATATAGTCAGGTGGCAGGCGAATAGCCCAGAATAAGGTGAATACCTGAAGGAAGTTTGTTGGAAATGGGATTAAGTAATTAAGATAGTCCACATATAGTTGAAAGTTGACTATTTCATAGGTTCCCAATAACAATGAGTTAAAGATGATATATATTCAAGGTTATAAGGGCTCTCCAAACTAAATCAGAGTGAAAGGCTCATACTGCTGCTAAGACCTAACCTTCACACAGTAAGTGGAAAATTCCACTCATGCTAAACAGCTGCTGAAAGTTTAATAACATATTAATTAGCTCACACAATCTAAAACTGTATTACTTACAATACATATAACTCCAAATGGCTTAGGTTGGCATCTGAACAAAGCTTGTAACTATTATGCATGGAATATATATATATATATGTAAGTGGAATCCACTCATGCTAAACAGCTGCTGAAAGTTTAATAACATATTAATTAGCTCACACAATCTAAAACTGTATTACTTACAATACATATAACTCCAAATGGCTTAGGTTGGCATCTGAACAAAGCTTGTAACTATTATGCATGGAATATATATATATATACACTAGAGGCCCGGTGCACAAAAATTTGTGCACTGGGGGGGGGGGGGGGCCCCCCACCCCGGCC